CACGAATATAGAATAAGAACATTTTCGTCATACAGAAATTCATTATATTAATTTTCATGACACCGCACTAACTAATAGACCCCTATATCCTAAAGCTGTTAATTTGTTCTGTGGACGACTGTCATGTCCTACTTTCATTGGTGGATGATGAGCCGACCTGACTTTTCCTTGTTGGGCCGCGTGTTTCCCCAACTTGGAAAACACTTTACGAGTTCGAGTTTCCGAGAACAAAGAAAAAAAAAGAAAAAGAAAAAAAAAACTTGGACTGAGTATCAATACATTTGCTTCACTATAGGTACTGAAAATAACTAATTCGTGTTGCATATTTTCACAACTATTTAACACTACTCGTCACTTTCTGGAATACTCGTATTTTATCACTTTATTGTCATAATCTTTTCCCAATATGTTTATATTGGTTTATATTGTTTTTATTATTATCATTATTATTATTATCATTGCCATCATCACCATCATCATTATCATTATCATCATCATTATCATTATCATCATCACCATCATCATTATCATTATCATCATTATCATTATCATCATCATCATCCTTATTTCAGTTATTATCATTATCATAATTATTGTTATCATTATTGTTATTATCATTATTACTTTTATAGTAATAGTAATAACAAAACAGTAATGATAACAATAATGCTGATAATAATAATGATTATCATGAGAATTACGATTATAATAATATTATAATAATTAATAATTAATTAATAATTAATAATTATAATCAGTATTATTTCTACTAATGTTCTTGTTGTTCTTTTGTAGTAGCATTACTACTATTATTATGTCCTTATTATAGTTATTATCATTAGTATTATAATCACTTTTGTTGTTACTTTTGCTATTATTGTTATTATTTAATTATTATTGTTATTACTACTAGTGCCATTACTATTATTTTTTTTTTATTATTGTTATCGTCATCTTCATCATCATCATCATCATCATAATCATCATCATCATCATCACTATCATGAACATCATCATCAAAACATTGGCATTATTATCATAATTAGCATTATCATTTTTATTAGCATTATTAATATTATTATATATACCACTATCATTATCATTATTATCGTTATAACTGCTAGCACACTTAACATACTTAATAATTGGTAGCAGCCAGGCATAAATCTTCATAAAATCTATCCAATCTTTGTTTACGAGAGTGAAAGTCATCTGATAAGTCCCTTCTAGAAACACTAAGGAACAAGTAATGAATAATAATGAACGATAATAGAAAAATATTCACATGAAGTATCCAATCACCTGTTTGGATTGAAGCACAGGATTTTGGACTTTCTATCTTATATCATTCTAGTTTCTCTTGTTACTGTGTTTGTCAATAGTATTATTGAATTTAGTAGCGTCCCTGCCTTTACTGATTTTAATATATGTATCTTTATATGTATCATTATATTTTATTATCGATAAAATTGATATTATAATTATGAGAATAAGTATTGATATAATATTGATAACATTATTATTGTTTATACTTTTAGACTCCTTTAGTGCTAATTTAAACCACTGTGTATTGAACAAGGTTCCATATGCCATTAATGGGAAAATGAGAAAATATAAAATAAAGATCCATATTATTAGCAGTAACATTATTTTTCCTTCCCATGACATTACGTTTGGAAGGGCTTTGTCAGATGATTTTTTTTGGCAAGTTCAGAAATAATACTTCATTACTTACGCTAGTTCTGAAACCAGTTTACACAATGGATATTTTTCATGTTACTTGTCATGTATTGGCTTATGAGACGGAGTTTTCTTTTACTCTCTCTCAAATATGCAAGTTCACGGTAGAATGCTTTGTAATGCTGAAGCCGACGACGAGTTAGGATGTCACATGGTGGTAATCCCAGGTTTCTGTTTTAACGTTAATGACAATAGTGAATCTGTCCGAATATGTGTGTGTGTGTGTGTGTGTGTGTGTGTGTGACTGTATGTATAGGTCATAATCCAAACGTTTATATGATACTCGTTTGAATGAACCTTCAAGTCAAGGGCCCTTTATCGTCCGTAACATTTGATGCTGATTGGTGGAACTGTCACTGTAAAAAGACATTATATTTCTTATGTACTCGTTTATTTATCTTTTTTATTTGATGACACTTTCTTTTCAATAACAATCTATATAATTCGTCTTGGAAAAGAGAAAACTTCAATAGAAATAAGTATGAGAATATGAAATCAAGAGAATTCTAGTGAAACAGACTCGGAGTGAAACATAATGTTGAATAGGGAATATTCACACGAATGCCGCGCTATGATATACGACAGCTTATACATCTGGTCACCCGAATTCTGTGAAGGTTGCTTTTTGCATAAGATAAATAAGAAACGAAGCAAGTTTAACTGTTTATGTATTAATCTTCAGTGCTTATTCTCAGTCACTATGAACTTTCTCTGTATCCTTTTACTGTTGATATTTATAGGACAATATCCTATCTAGGCTTAAAATCATACATTCACTTTTATGGTCGGTATGTATTAATAATTTCTTCACCCTTGCCAAATGCCTTTTTTGATATTTCCTTCAACTATCATCAGGAAGTGAAGCAATGTGCGTTAACCAACAGCCTTTCAGACATTTTGAGAATGCAATAGTGTACCGTAGTTATAAGAATAAATAGATAAAGGAAGGATAATGGATACTGAGAGATGTCAAGAGTTCCTCTAAAATGAATTAGGTATTTATAATATATTTTTTATCTTGCAACAAATATCTCTAATAAAATCAAGGTGATTTATAAAAAAAAAAGTGTGTGTGATTTAGTGCATATAGTATTTACAGATATGAAGCCACACAGTAATTGATATTGCAGTTATGATGTAGGCTGCTTGTTTTATTATTGACATTATCATTTTTTTACTGAGAATAATTCTATCCTTATTACTCGTATTACTATCTTATCCTGTATATAGATAGAAATGTTAATCGTTTTGACAATTATTTTGATTACAGTTACCATTATTATCACCATTTCTTATAATAATCATGTGTTATACATTATTATCATTGATATTGTGATTAACTTAATTGCTGTTATCATCACTGTCACCATCAAAATCATGATATTAAGGAATACCATTGTTCTCCATATTCTACATATTAACTAATTTGGGAGGAATCAATATCGTTATTCTTCTCTGTATCATCATATGTCATCCGTTATATTCACTAACATCATGACCACTATTTCATAATATCCACATACATATAACACATACCCTAAAATTTTCTGTGAACCTTTCACAGATACAAACAAGGAAATCGTATCTGAATAATAATAAAAAGATAAATCCTTAATAACTGTCTCCTTAAAGGAAACTTTTAGTTCAGAATTGCTTTCCAAGAGTGAGATAATAAAAGCGTGCCTTCCTATGGTATTTGCCCGAACTGGTTTCCCTCTCACTTTCCTTCGTGATTCTCCTCTGCTTTCTCTAGCCATCCTTTTCTCTCTCCATCGCTGACTCAGCATATTTCCTCTTCCTCAGTATCACCTGTTCTATCCTTTCCCTTTCTTAACTTGGAAAGAAGATTTGAATGTTAGTGTTTTCTGAGCGTGATCAGTTTATTTGGCATGTTGCTGATGAGTTTAATCTTTTAAATAAATGTACCCTTCATGTCTACAGTCATTTCTTAACGGAAATGTTGTACACTCTCTGCTATTAATGTCAAACATAAACGAACACTCATGTGTGTGTGTGTGTATGTATATATATATATATATATATATATATATATATATATGTGTGTGTGTGTGTGTGTGTGTGTGTGTGTGCGTGCGTGTGTGTGTGTGTGCGTGTGTGAGTATGTGTGTATGTGTGTGTGCATTCACATATATACACATATATACGTATATAAATGTATATATATATATATATATATATATATATATATATATATATATATGTATATGTATATATACATACATATACATATATGTATATGGATATATACATTTACACATTTATTTATTTATGTACATACGTACGTGAACAAAGATGCAAACATGCAGTGACTTTAACTCCAGACAGACCTTTCCTTTTGCATTCACACACATAAATACACACACATAGTAATATTAGATATGAATGTAAGATGTTAAACCAAATAAAGACTTTGTCAGATTAATATCCACAGTACCTGGAAGAGGAGAAAGTCACTAGCCAGTATACGTCACAAATACTATATGTTATTGGACATTTTGTTATACATACCAGTTTTAATGTTGATTCAGCCAGCTTATTTTTTTCATAATAGTCATTTTGCGGCGAGACACACACACACAAACACATATATATCTGTTAGAGATATAAAAAAAATACATGTGGATATATTTATATATTATACGCATATGTATATATACATACATACATAATATATATATGTGTGTGTGTGTGTATATGTGTATATATATATAAGTATATATAAATATATATATTTTTTCACTCTATCTCACAGATATATATGTATGTATATATATATGTGTGTGTGTGTGTGTGTGCGTGTGCGTGCCCCCGCAAAAGGATTATTATGAAAAAAATAAGCTGACTGAACATATATACATATACATATATATATATATATATATATATATATATATATATATATATATATATATATATATATATATATATGTATATATATATATATATATACAGACACATACATGTGTTTTTATATGCACTCGCAGGTATGTTTGTATACATCCGTAATAGTTATATCATACAGTTATGTAATATAATCCTATATGCAATATTATCTTTGATGTTTAACTTTTACTTTCTTTCAGGTGGACTTTCTTTCACGCCCAAGCGCATTGCTTTGTTCTGCTTTCATAGACCAATCAGCTTGCAGGTCCTGGGAGTTTCCCTTAGGAAAGGAAAAGTGGGCGGTCCTGCGTAAGAAGCGGTATATAAGATGGTACTATTGGTGAAAGACTAGTGTCTTCACCATGAGGCTCTTGGTGAGTGGATCTCTTCTGTAGGCTATGATCTTTTTGTAATATAAAGATGTGTTAAAGAAATATGGTTAGATATGAAAATCCGGAATAAAAAGATGATTCATAAAGAGGGAATTTAATTGACAAGTCTTTAAGGATCTTCGTAAAAGGTTAAAATACTAAGTCACATTGTTGTTGCTTTTCAGATAACTGTATTACTGTTTGTTACTACATGTACAGCTATACCCGATGGGTATAGAGCACCAGGAGGAGGATTCTCTGGCGGAGGAGGATTCTCTGGCGGAGGAGGATTCTCTGGTGGGGGAGGATTCTCTGGCGGAAGTGTAATTTCGGCTGGAGGAGGAGGTTTCTCTAGTGGAGGAGGAGGAGGATTCTCTGGTGGAAATGTAATCACTGGTGGAGGAGGAGGCTTCTCTAGTGGAGGAGGAGGATTTAGTAGTGGAGGATTCTCTGGCGGAAGTGTAATCTCTGGTGGAGGAGGAGGCTTCTCTAGTGGAGGAGGAGGATTTTCCAGTGGGGGATTCTCAAGTGGAGGAGGATTTTCCAGTGGAGGATTTTCTAGCGGTGGAGGATTCTCTGGTGGAGGTGGATTCGCAAGTGGAGGAGGATTTTCTAGCGGCGGCGGATCTGGCAGAGGATGCGGTCCTGGAACGGTCCTACATGTGGACGGGTCCTGTGTCTCCCCAGTAGTATCAAGAAAAGTGTACGTCTACGACGCCCCTGCACACCCGTCCGTTCCAAGTGGTCCACCACCAAGGGTTCCACCGCCGAGGGTTGATCACAATATCCTGTTTGTTCGTCTTCCGGAAGGAGGCG